TTACGAATTTTTTAACTTCTTTTTTAAATAAATATTTAATCATTATTATTTTTCCATAAGAATTAAAATTTTTCAAAAGATTCAAATTCAAACCTCTTTAAAATTCAACAACTTATAATAAATTAAAGATAACCGAGTGATAAAATAATTATTTTATAAAATAAGAATATTTTTACTGTAATTTCTGAAAAAAAATATTTTCATCATTTCAATTCAATTATTATTTTCTAGAATTTTTAACTTAAATTCTTCTTCAAAAATCAATTATTTTTAAATTTTTAAAAAAGTTCTTCTTTGAGAATTTTTTAAATTCATTTGTTTACAATTCAATTTTAGGAAAAATTTCAATTATCATTCGGAATGTCATCAATTAAAAATATTAAAATATATTTTAAAAAATAGAAAGTTCAAGTAATTTAAAGAAAATTTGAAATAAAATTTTTCAAAAACAATCAGCTTCACAGCACTGTTATATAATTAAAAGTATGAAAAAATTTAGATTTTTTAAAGATTTTAATTTAAATTCATTTCAAAATTCAACTATTTCTCAAAATTGCTATTATTATTTTTTTTTAAATTTCAAAAAACTAAGTTCTTTAAAAATTTCCAAATAAAATTCATTCAAATTAAAAATTTTCTAAGATTAAAAATAATAATTGAAATTCTACAAAGAAATTTATCCAAATTTTTAAGAATAATTGAATTATATTTAGAAATTTTATTGAATGAATAATTGAAATTGTGACAAGAAATTTATCAAAAAATGTTAAGAACAATTAAATTTTTTTGAGAAATATTTTACTAACAAATATTATCTTCTACTAATTTATTAGTAAAATTTACTAATCTTTGATTTTTTCTTTTAAATTAGTAAATTTTACCAATGAACGAGTAGAAAATACTGTTTTTATTTGTAAAATTTACTAATTCAAAAGCAAAAAGTCAGTCTATAATTTTGTAAGGTAAAAAAAAATTCATGAAGAATTCAAAATTTAAGTTTTTCGAAAATATTTTCTACATCAAAAACCAAAAATTTTTGTAGTAGATCAATTGGATTTTTTCTACATTGTATTAAAATTTAAAGAAATTATTCACGTTAGTTTAAAAATTAGTGCTTCTTTAATTATTTTTTTCAAGTCCTCTACAGTATTTGTATTAGTGTATTGGGCGGATTGAGGGATAATATGGAAATAACAAAAATAAATTTTTAGGGAAAGGATTTTTCCCCTTTTAAATTCTCAAATTACGTAGTGAAATTTGTATAATTTAATTATAATTTCATCATGAATAATAAATTGTAATTAATAAAGCGACGAAATCATCTTGAATGGTAGATTTAAAAAAAAAAAAATGAAATTCGATTAAAAGTGCAGGTAATCAGTGATGATATCACCTGTATAAATAGGAACGCCTCCTAACTTGCTCACTAATATACCTAACTATCTTACCTACCTACCTAGCAACCTACCTATCTACCTACCCATTCAATACCTACCAATCTGCTACCTACGCTAATACGTAATACTTATCAAGTTATCTGCACTGTTCGCTTACAAACGTTTCACTGCATGAAACAGCTTTAATAACATATTGAGAAAAAATTACTTTTTTACACTAAATTTATTCATACACACTGTGCTATATATCTAGATCTTGGATCTATATATTAAGATCTAAGATTTATCACTATTATTTTTTTTTATTTTTTTATTTTATATATATTATTATTATTTATTATTATTCAGATGTAAAAATTTATTTTTTATATAAATCGACTCTCTAAATTTAAATTAGTACTCTAAATCCTAATTAGTAGTTTCCTACTAATGAAAGAGCGCAGATTTGTTTACTACCTGAATTAGTAACAGTTTTGACTAATTTTTAGTAAAAATCTCTCAAAGCGAAAATTAACTCTCTAAATTTTAATTTGTAAAAATATTTACTACTTTTAATAAGTAACTAACTTTTTGACTAACTTTTTAAATAACTAACTTTTTGCATTGTAATTAATAAATTTTATTAGTAAATTAGTAAAAATTACTATTTATTAGTAAAATTTACTAATTCAAAAGAAAAAATTCAGTCAATAAAATAAATATAATAAACATAATAAACGTAATAAATATAATAAACATTTTTATACTAATTTAAACTCAAAGAGAAAGATTTAGATTTAGATCAAAGATCTAGATTTTTCCAAAAAAAAAATCCATAAAGAAAATAAATCCTTAAACTACTTACAAAAGAGAACATCATTCTGTTTGTAATTTCATTCCCATTTTTTTGTCAATTAAAAAGTAATTAAGTAATTTTTCACTGATTAAGCAATTAATTTCCTTTTCGGTTAATCTGATTACTCAATGCCTCAATTTATAATCAATACGATTTGTCGTGTCATTGAAGGGACAAAAATGATTCAACTTTTATATAAACGATGAAACATTCAACTAACAAGATAATAAAGTAAGTAAAAAAGTAACTTTACTTTAAATTAACATTCGTTCATGATCCACAAGTTCTGAACGAATACATTCGAACGAACGATAAATATTTTTCAAATAAAAACATTACGTTCAAATAAAAGAAATATTTTTCAATAAAAAAAAAAATACGTTAAAAATATTTTTCCACAAAAATATTCCCCTTAATTACTGATTCGAATAAAAATTAATAATTAAAAATTCAACATTTAAAAATTCCATAATTCAAAGTTTAGATTTTACTGTTACAATACAAACACGAATCCCGGTTCAAGAAATTAATTAGTGGCTGCTTTTTTTGACGAAATAATTATTCATAAAAATAGTAGTTAAATAGTTGAATGAAAAAAAAGTGTCAAAAAGTATCAATAGCCACGTGAATCTGAAACCTGCTAAAAATTATTAATTTTAATCAAACTGATTTTCGATTCGAAATAGAAATTAAAAAAAAAATTGATTGCCTCATAAAAACAAATTACGAAATTACTGAGAGTATACCGAAGAAAACTGCACTGCACGATGGTTCATTCCGAAACTTTTGCAAGAGTTGTAAATGAACGTATTAAATTTCTTATGCCTTATATGAAATCCTCAAATTTTCCCTAAATCATAAAAGTCTCATAAATTTTCAATTACGTTGAATAAAAATTTGCTTTAATAAAAAAAAATCGAATCAATATTATTTTATATTTGATTCCTAACTAAAAATCCAAACTATCAAATTTCTGGGAATATTCCTGGTTTTTACGAATTTTCTTACTAGCGCAAAATATTACATTTGTATTCTTGGAATATTCCATTGATATAAAAAATATTCCACTCTCGTTTCAGGAATATTGAAATATTCCTAAATAATAATAAAATAAATTTTATTTTTATATTTAGGTTTATAAATAAATTAATAAATAAAACTAATCAATAAAGAAAAAAAGTTCCTTTGAAGTAATGTAGGAATATTCCATTGGAATGTAGAAGGAATATTTTATTGGAATACAAAAAATATTCCATTCTCATTTTGGAAATATAAAAATATTTCGAAATAAAAATAAAATAAATTTTATTTTTCAATTTTGTTTATATTTCAATAAAAATAAAAAAATAAGAGAAAAAAATGCTTCTTTGGAATAATGTAAAAATATTATATCCAAATATTATTGGAATATTTCATTAGAGTGCAAAAAATATTCCATTCACATTATCAGAATATTAAAATATTCCTTTTTAATAAAATGAATTTTATTATTTATTTTCTATTTAAATAAAGAAATAAAAATAAAATGAGAAATGCTCCTTTAGAGTAATGTAGGAATATTCCATTGGAATATAGTTGGAATATTAAATTAGAACACCAAAAATACTCCCGAATAATAATAAAATTTTTACTATTTATTCTCTATTTATATTTAAGTAAATAAAACTAGAAAATAAATAAAGAATGCTCCTTTAGAATAGTGTAGAAATATTCCAAAGAAATATTACTTTATAAATTTTGAGCTATTTTAATTCAAAGTAAATTGACAATTTATTTATTTTGTTTTATATGTTTTAAATTGATTACAATATAAATAATAATATTTGTGATTTTTGTTTTTTTTTCGTTTTTTTCAAATAAATAATAATACTATTAATTAAAAAAATATTTTTACAAAATTTGAATGGAATATTCCCACAATACTTTGTTGGAATATTCCCAAATTATTCTAAAGTTGGGACATTCTAATATTCCCAAAATATGAAGGAATTATTCCTTTCGAATATTCGCAAAGTTTCAACGAAATGAAAATGAAAAATGTGAATGAAATATTCCTTTAGAATATTCCTAAAGTTCCAACGAAATGAAAATAAAAAATTTGAATGAAATATTCCTTTCGAATATTCCCAAATTATGAATAAATTATTCCTTTAGAATATTCCCAATTTTCCAGTGAAATATTCCTTTCGAATATTCCCAAAGTTCCAATAAAACATTCCTTTCGAATATTCCCAAAGTTCGAATAAAACATTTCTTTCGAATATTTCTAAAGTTCCAACGAAATGAAAATGAAAAATGTAAATGAAATATTCCTTTAGAATATTCCCAAAGTTCTAGTGAAATATTCTTTTCAAATATTCCCATATTTCCAGTGAAATATTCCTATTGAATATTCCTAAAGTTCCAACAAAATAAAAATGAAAAATGTGAATGAAATATTCTTTTAAAATATTCCCATACTTCCAATAAAATATTCCTTTCAAATATTCCCAAACTTCCAACGAAATATTTTCCCAGAAATGCAAATATTCCATATTAATAAAAAATATTCCCTTCTATTTGGATTTCAATTTTACAAAATGAAAGTACGATAATTTTGCAAAGTAGGAAAGAAGATCGGAGAGTAAACGTGAAAACACGCGAAATATTATGGCGTGGTTCTATATGTGCCCCTTGCACTGATTGTGAAACACGCTCACCTCCTATATCATGCACCACGGCTAGAGTATATGTATTTTAAGTTTATGAAAAAAATCTAGAGTACTTACATTCCTTGTTACGATCCATGGAGTGTTGAAGTGGAGAGTCGTCGACCTCCGCCTTTGGCGGCGACTGATTGCCCTCCGCCATCTCGGATTTCAATCCTGATCCTGTTCCTGCTTTTGCCTCTGCTGCTCCCGATCCTTGGACACTCGTGGCTTTTGCTGCTTCAGCAGTAGCCACTAAGTCCGCCGTTTTCTCCCGTTGTAAATAAAGTCTTGCTCCCTTCTTATTGATACTGTCGATTCCACTCCTGCAAAGCATTTCCATTATTTCAATTAATCCTTTCAATACTCATATATTTACAAATTATTTCCTATTTTTTTCTCTTTTTCTCTACTGTTTTTTTCACTAATTTTTTTACTACTTTTTTAATTACTATTTCTCTACTTACAATTTTTTAATTACCATTTTTCTACTTATTATTTTTTAACTAGCAAACAATTCGCGCGCTAAAACGCGCGGCTAAACTTCTTATTACCTTTTTTAAATATAATTACTAATTTTAAAAATAATAGAATTAAAAAATTTTCTAATTTAAATTCATGCTGAAAACACTAAAAAAAAAAATCAATTTTGAAATAATTACAAATAATAATTAAAAAAAAATAAAATTCTTCTTACAAAATTCAACTATGTTCAAAATTTAAAAAAATTCTCGTAAAAATCTCAATTGACTTTATTTAAATAACAAAATTCTTCTCCAAAGTTCAATTATTTTCATAAACGTCAAAAAAATTATTGTCCTAATTTTAATAATTTCCAGAAAATTTTCTAATTTTAATGATTTTCAATATCTACTATTTTAATAAAATTTCCCAAAAATAATTCAAATTTTAATTACTATTTCACTAAAATTTCACAAAACAATTCTATTATTAAAAAAAAAAAAAATGTTAAAAAATTCTTTTCAAACATTCAATTAATATAAAAAATATTAAAATTTTTCCTAAGAATTCAATTATTTCCAAAAATAATAAAATTCTTTTCAAAATTGCAATTATTTCAAAGATTTTAATCAAAATTCTTGTAAAGAATGCAATTTTTTTATAAATAATTGAATTTTTCTAGGTAATTCAATTATTTTGTAAAATTTTAACAAAATTCTTCACAAAAATTCAATTATTTTCATGAGTAATAAAATTCTTCTGACGTATTCAAGTATTTCAAAAGATAATAAAATTCTTGTAAAGAATTCAATTATTTTTATAAATAAGTAAATTTTTTTTAGGGGATTTAAATTTTTTTTTTATAAATAATTAAATTTTTCAGGGGAATAAAGTTATTTTTTAAAATTTTTTAAAAATTCTTCATAAAAATTCAATTATTTTCATGAGTTAGAAAATTCTTGTGAGGAATTCAATTATCTCAAAGATCTTAATCAATTTTTCGGAAAGAATTCAATTAATTTCATAAAAGTAATAAAATTCTTCTGAGAAATTAAATTATTTTCAAAAATAATAAAATTGTTTGCAAAATTTGAATGATTTTAAAAGGTTTTAATCAATTTTTTGGGCAAGAATTCAATTAATTTTCTAAATAATAACATTTTTCTGAAGAATTTAATTTTTTTTCAATTAAAAAAAATCGATGCAAAAATTCAATTATTTCTATAAATAATAAAATACATTGTAGAATTTCAATTATTTTTTCATACAATTTTAAATGAATTCCGCGAAAAATGCAAGTATTTTAAAAAAATTTTATTAAAATATATTTATAAAATAAAAAATCTGATTTAAAAACAAAATTCATTTTTTCAAAAAAATATTTGAATAAAAATAATAAAATTTTCAAATAATTGCAGAAATTCAATTATTTGAAGAAAAAATTCTTGTCCTAATTTCAATAATTTTTAACAAATTTTCTAATTTTAATAATTTTCAATATCTACTATTTTAATAAAATTTTCCAAAAAGAATTCAATTATTTAAAAAAAAGTTTAATTATTAATTATTATTATTATTATTAATTATTATTATTATTAATTATTATTATTTTCATAAATAATAAAATTTTTTTAAGGAATTCAATTATTATTTTCACAGAAAATAATTTCAAATTCTAGAAAATAATAATTGAATTAAAATGATGAAAATAATTTTGATTAAAGTTACAGTAACAATATTTTTCTAGTATAAAATAATGATTTTATCTCTCGATCATCTTTAATTACTTTTTACTAGTTACTAGTAATCCCCCTAATATTACTATTTTTTACAATTTACTAACTTTAACCCCTACTACGACTACTTATCTACTATTTTCCACTATTTACTAGTTACCCCCACTTTATTACTATTTTCTACTATTTACCAATTAACCCCCCTTCCCCTTTTTATTATTATTTATTCACTGGTTACCCCCCTACTATTACTATTTACTTACTAGTACTTTTCTTAAAAAATATATAAATAAATTTCTAAACTTTGAAATTTTAAATAAAATAAAAAAATTTTTTTTTTTAATTTTTGTTTAAAAAAAGTAATTAGATTTGTCATAAATTATATACTTCTCAACTCGAAAATCGCTCCGATCCTTCTTCTCCCTTTCCCTGTCTTTCAAATGAGAGGATTTATTTCCTTTTGATTTCGACTTTGAGTCACTTTTGCCAATCTTGTGTGGCTTCTGCTCAATGATGATGTCGGAGTCTCCAGTCAATGTTGCTGAAGTTCCATTATTCAAACTGGAAGACGATGTCGAAGCATTCGAGTTTGTGTAATCCTAGGAAAATGGCGCTTTATTAATATTTCAAGAGGCAAAACAGTTATTGGCTTTTCTTATTTTAAATAAATTGAATATCGTGAATAAATCTAATACCGGAAAATAAATTCAAATGATTAACTGAATTTAAATTAAATAAATTAAAATTTCTGAGGAACCTAATTTTCTCAGAATTTTAATGAAAATTATTTAAAAGTTAAATACTTTATGGTTTAAAAAAATAAATATTTTATTAATATTAATTTTTTCACAGTAATTTCATTTTTCAATATTTTTAGTTCATAAAACTTGCTGAAATTCAACTATATTTCTGAAAATTACAATAGGTTTTTAACTCAAATTTCTCATAAAATAATTATAATTTTTATAACGTCTACAAAAAAGTTATTGTAGAAATGAATTGTTTAAAACAAATTTATCTGCTTATTTACAAAAAAATAAGAAAAATTAAGGTATTTTTAAAAAAATTAGTTTCATTAAAAATAAATGAAGAAGTATTGCTGATTTTCTATTTTGTAAATGTTCATAATTTATTATTTCAAAATTTGGTACAACAAAGCAAAATAAATAAATAAATAAAATCAATAATTGCAAAAATGTTTTAGAATTAGTAATACAATCAAAACTTGAGACAAAGGACGTTGAAATTTATTTCTTCTAAATCTAATAATTTTTAAGAGCTTTGTTGCAATTTATTTGCAAAACTTGATTAAAATACGCATTTTGAAAAAAAAATTGCATCAAAGTATGTTATTAGACTCTAATCATGACAGAAATGTTAAAATATTAATTAAAATAATAAAATAAAAAACTTGCAGAATTCTTTCTGAATCGAAAATAAAATATAAAAAAGTTCTGAATACCTCCGTGATATGGAAAAAGTTTTTTTTTCTTTAGAAAAAAAAGCTCAATCTGATGAAAAAAGCTCATATTTGATATTCGACTTCAAAAATTGTGAAAATAAATTTACAACCCCAACGTCGTTTTTCAAGATACAAATTTTTTCTGTATTGGAAATAAATTATAAAAAAGTTCTGATTACTTTCAAGTTTTGGAAAAAGCTCTTCTTTAATAAAAAAGCTCCAAATTAATGAAAAAAGCCCAAATTTGATATTCGACTCCAAAAATTGAGAAAATAAATGGACAGAGTCGTTTTTCAAGATATAAATTTTTTCTGAATTGGAAATAAATTACAAAAAAGTTCTGAGTACCTCCACGATCGGAAAAAGCTCATCTATAATAAAAAAGCTCCAAATTGATGGAAAAAAGCTCAAATTTAATATTTGACTTGAAGAATTGTGAAAATAAATTTAAAACACCAGCGTCGTTTTGCAAAATACAAATTTTTTTTGAATTAGAAATAATAAATTGTAAAAAGTTCTGAGTACCTGCACGATCGGAAAAAGCTCTTCTTTAATTAAAAAAAGCTTTAAATTTATTAAAAAAGCCCAAATTTGATATTTGACTGGAAAAATGGAGATAATAAATTTACAAGACCAGCGTCGTGTTTTAAGATACAAATTTTTTCTAAATCGGAAATAAATTCTAAAAAAGTTCTAAGCATCTCCACGTTTCGGAAAAAGCTCTTCTTTAATAAAAAAAAAGCTCCAAATTGATGAAAAAAACCCAAATTTCGGGGGGCCACCCGAACGCTATCAGACAATCAAAATTTGAGAAAAAGAAGGTTTATATTTAATTTTTCTAATTCTAATAATTTTTTATTAACTGATAATCATCTGAATTAAATTCAAAATAAAATAAAATTTTGTTGATTACCTTAAACCACTCCGGGTATATTGCACTAATCGTATCAAGAAGATCTTGATCTAGTTGAATTCTCCAAAATGGAGATCCGCTGTCCAACCTGTGGCCAGACTCTGCAAACAAAAAACAAATAAATTAATTAAAACAATAAATAATTTCCTCCACAAAAATACTCAATTTTTCAAGTTTCTTTTCAAATTTTTTTTTTTCAAGGAAGAATCTGACGGACAGTCAAATCAAAAGTTAGTCCAATGTCATAATTTCGTATGTTAAAAAAAAATACAAATTAAATTTTAAAATTCGTCTTGGTGGAAAGGCGAAAAATTTAATTTTGAATATTTAAAACGATTAAAAGTTGCATTTGAATAAAAATTGCAATTTTCTGTCAATAAGAAATATTTGTTAAATTTTAGGTTATGTTACTTAAACCATTTATTATTGACGAAAAATTATAATTTTTATTTAAATATAACTTTAACACTTTCGCGCCTCCGTAACTACTATATATAAAAAAAAATTGGAAATTACATACTACTATTATAATTATTATAAACAATAGATAGAATATCGTTAAAAAAATAGCAAAATTTACTCAAATTCGCTTAAAATTTTTTACTCAGAGGTTTTCGGGCTCACTGATTACGAATCTAAAGTCATATTTTTAAAATTCAAGTTGGTGGACATTTTTTTTTCAAAATTGCTCATATTCGTTTGAAACTTGTTACTTGGTGTTTTTCAGGGTTGCTATTTTAAATTTCGAAAATCTAACTTGAAATTCGTAATCAGCGACCCTGAAAACCCCCGAGTAACGAATTTTATACAAATTTGAGCAATTTTGAAAAAAATGTCCGCCATATTGGATCCGCCATTTTGAATTTTGAAAATTTTAAAAATTTGACTTTAGATTCGTAATCAGCGACCCCAAAAACCCCCGAGTTTCCCGGGGGCACGAAAGGATTAAAATGTTCAAAATGTAGAAAATTAAATTCCTTACCCTTCTATCAAAAGGAATTTAAAATTTAATTTTTACTTTTTCTTTAAAATACGAAATTATGACATTATGACATTAGACTAACTTTTGTTCCGATTGTTTGTCGGATTCTTCCTCAAATGCTTTTCAAGTTGTTTTCAAGCATTTTTTAAAGTTTTTTTCAAGTTTTTTTTAAGTTTTTTTTTAAAGTTCTTTTTAAGTTCTTTTTAAGTTCTTTTTAAGTTGTTTTTAAGTTCTTTTTAAGTTCTTTTTAAGTTTTTTTTAAGTTCCTTTTAATTTCTTTTCAAGTTGAAGCACCCACTCGAGAGAAAAACAAAAGATTTAAATAACCCACAGAGAAAATCTGACGAATATCGTTACAGAGAGGAAAAGATGATGAAGAAGAAGAAGAAGAAGAGAAAAAAGTGGAATAAAAAGTAATTTTAACCGCATAAGGACTAATGGTCTTTGGCGACCATCGACCAATAGGTTCGCAATCGTATATCCCCAAGCCCTCAGGAATGCCGGCTAGCCGATTTCTTTCACGCATTCCTAATTTAAACGTCGCGTCGACTTGAGAGTGCCATCTCGTAACCATCATCCCCTCTTAATCGAAACTACTAAGAGAGTTCTCTCCCCTTTCTTCTTCTTTTCTTCATGGTGGGTTTACCTACGAAGTAAACTGTATAACCGGCGGTGGACCTCGTTATGGTGAAACGCGTGCCTTGCTTTCGTGATCACAGTTCAAACCCTGTTTCAAGGCCGAGGGGGTAGGTGGAACAAACAAGGAAGCAAAAAAAAAAAAAAAAATAAGAAAAAGAAAAAAAATTATTTCAAATCATTACCGAACTCGAGATAGACTTTTAATTATCCGCACCAAATTAATTCTTGTTTATAAATATTTCGTAACAAGGTATATAAAAATTCGCTTCATATATTCGTTTCGAAATCAATTACGCTCAAAATTGATTACTCTCAACCAGAATCTTTTTTTGCCAAATTAACAATTTACACAAGGAAAAAATTATTATTATTATTATTATATGTACCAAATTGGGACATTTCTTGACTTAATTCGTTAACTTTGAAAATCAGTAGAACCGTAAAATCAGATATAAATTGTTACATAAGTAAATTTTTTTTTTCCACTTTACGTATAAAAATATTTTTTTACTTTATATTAATTTAATTAAATATTTAGTGAAATTATTATTTAGCAAAATTATTATTGAATAAAATTATTATTGAGTAAAATTATTATTCAGTAAAATTGTTATTGAGTAAAATTATTATTGAGTAAAATTATTATTCAGTAAAATTGTTATTGAGTAAAATTATTATTGAGTAAAAGTATTATTCAGTAAAATTGTTATTGAGTAAAATTATTATTGAGTAAAATTATTATTTATCAAAGCTATTATTAAGTAAAAGTTTTATGTACTAAAATTTTCAATTTCACGACTCAATTTTATCATAATTTCCAAATTAAATGACATTCAATTTATAAATCTTTTGAAATTTAATTATTTCCAAAAGTTTACAATATAATGCTTCTAATATTCAATTATTGTCTAAAATTTTAACTGAAATTCAATTTTAAATCAATTCTTATTAAAAAGATTTACGAGAATTCAATTATTTAAATGCAAAATGAAATGATTTGTGAAATAATTGAATATTTCTTAAAATTGAATTCTTATAAAGAACTTTAACAAAATTTTTTTAAATAAATTGAATTCTTTCGCAGAATTTTAATAAAATTTTCAAAAATTAATTTTTCGAGGAATAAATTTAAAAATGAATTAAAAATAATTGAAATTAAATAAAATAAAAATTGAATTCTTATAAAAATACTGTTATTTATGAATTTTATTGAAATAGTAGATATTGAAACTAATTAAATAATATTCACAAATTTTTGAAATTAATTTCATTTCTACAAAAATTTTTATTAAATTTTTTTTAAATAATTGAATAATTACAAAAAGTTGGTAAAAATAATTGAAAATAATTCAATTCGTTCAAGAAATTTAATAACATTTTTAAGAATTATTTCTTCTTTCAAAAGAATTCATTTAAAATTGTATTAAAAATAATTGAAATTCTGCGATGTTTTATTAGTTATGAGAATAATTGAATTTTAGCACCGAATTTTATTTAAATTTTTAAAAATAATTGAATTTCTGAGAAGAATTTTATTAATTATAAAAACTATTGAATTCTTGCGAAGCACTTTATTAAATTTTTTTTAATAATTGAATTCTTGTGAAGACTTTTATAAAAATCTTCTTGAATAATTGAATAATTGAATTTCAATGAAAATTTTATTATTTATAAAAAAATTTAATTCTTGTGAAGAATTTTATTAATTTTTTTTTAAATAATTGAATTCCTGCGAAGAATTTTATTATTAAGAAAAAATTTGAATTCTTGTGAAAAATTCTATTAATTTTTTTTTTTTTTTTTGAATAATTGAATTCTTACGAAGAATTTTAATATTTATAAAAAATTTGAATTCTTGTGAAGTATTATCTTAAATTTTTTTTAATAATTGAATTTCTGCAAAGAATTTTATTATTTATAAAAAGTTTTAATTCTTGTGAAAACTTTTATTAATTGTTTTTTTAAATAATTGAATTCCTGCGAAGAATTTTATTATTTATAAAAAATTTGAATTCTTGAGAAGAATTATCTTAATTTTTTTTTAATAATTGAATTCTTGTGAAGACTTTTATAAAAATCTTTTTAAATAATTGAATTTATGTGAAAATTTTATTACTTATGAAAATAATTGAATTTTTGCAAAGTATTTTATAAATTTTTTTTTTCAAAGATTTTAATCTGAAACCTTTTCAATTTCAATTATTTCTAAAAATTTACGCTATTCAATTATATTCAATTATTATCTAAAATTTTAATTGTAATTCATTTTTAAATCAACTTTTATTTGAAAATTCTACGAGAATGCAAGTATTAAAATAAAAAAATAAATAATTTTATTGAAAAATTGAATGTTTCTCAAAATTGAAATCTCATAAAGAATTTTATCAACAAATTTTTAAATAATTGAATTCTTTCGACGAATTGTAATAGCATTTTTTTAAGTAGTAATTAAAAATAATTGAAATTCTGCAATGAGTTTTTTTATTTATAAAAATAATTGAATTCGTAAAAAGAATTTTATTATTTATAAAAATGATTGAATCTTTGTGAAAAATTTTATTATTTATGAAAATAATTGAATTATTGCGAAGAAACTTGAAAAAAAATTTTGAAAATAATTGAATTTCTGTGGATTTTTTATAATACATGAAAATAATTGATTTTCTGCAAAGAATTTTATAAATTCTTTATTTTATAAATTCTCGTTTACTACTTAAATAAATAAATAAATAAATAAATAAATACATTTTTTTTAATTGAATTCTATTGGGAAATTTTTTATTAAAATAGTAGATTTTGAAAATAATTGAATTTCGAAACATTTTTGAAAATAATTGAATCGTTTAAAAGAATTTTATTAAAATTTTTAAGAATTATTTGTTTATTTAAACTGTTAGCTAATTTATAAATTGGCGAAAATTCTCATAATAAAGAAAAAAGAAGCTTCTAGTTTCACAAATTTTTAGTAGTAAAATTATCTTTTGTATTAATTATTATTATTTTTATTATTAATAATAATACTATTATTATTTTATTATATAATATTTATTATTATTATTAATAATAATAATAATAATAATAATAATTATTTTTATTATTATTAGTATTATTATTATTATTTGAAGTAGTTTTTCCTTTCATTATAATATTTATAAAGAATTTTTTTTCGATTTTTGGAAGATAATTGAAAATTTAAAAAAGAAAAACAATAATCTTTTTATTATTATTATTTATTATTATCTTTAGTTTCAGTAGATGAGTACGAAGCCTGAAAATTGTTATATGTATAGTAAATTTATTTATTGTATTTATTCTATATTTATTATTCTATTTATTATTTTATTTATAGTAATTTATTATTCAGTAAATTTTTTATGCAATAAAAATTTTCATCTAAAGAAAAATATTTATTTAACAAAAATGATTGTTAACAGAAACATTCGAGTTGCTCTAGATATCTGCGGAAAATACTGACCTATG